TGAAACTACTATTTATGCTAAATTATGTATTTTTCATACAAAATACATAATTTAGCATGTCATGCCTTTTAAGAACTTCAAGATTTGTATATGAGTACGGACAGCATAGTTATTTGCGAGATCAATAGCCGGTAATATCAGTAATATAGCTTGTCTACACTGCAATTGGGTATGTAAAAATTACAAATTATTTCACGCCACAATTTTCCAAGATAAATCAATTATGATGAGAATTTCTAAGAGTTCTTCAACGACCGGCTGAAATAGGAGACGTGGGCGAGAATACATATATTATGTTGTAGGGTTGGTAGGTATTTTACTTTCAATAAAGTATTTCAATATTAAAAGTTTCTACGAGCAATTTTCTAAATTGATTACTGAAGAAATTACCTCTATAAAATTTTATAGTTCTAGCGTGGTTTTTCCGCAAACGTAGGTATTCATTAAAACCTTTGTGTATAAGAAATTCCGTAGCTGTGACGTTATATGTTTGCGAAATAAAACATGTTTTGTTAGTCACATGCACAGTGAAACCATCTGTTCACTATGTTCTACACCTGGTTGATGATTGTTTAAGGAAATAAGTCATGTTCTATTAACTACATTGTGTTCATTTGATTTCTAAGACGTGCAACTGTGATGGTATGGTAGTAGAGCATAAGATTGACAGTCTTATAGCTAGAAAGACATTTCTTCCAGACACTTCGGAAGGGGACAAGACAGTCATCAGACAGTCTGATGATTCTAGGAAGATTTAAAGTAGCCGATTCTGAATTTTGATTGTCATGAATGATAGTTATACTTTATTGGCTTGGTGTGGTTAGTGGTAAGAGTAGGTAATGCTATTGGAATAATTGATATAATATACGAACAATAAGATCATACATTTTAATGAAAGAAAGAGGATTACATAAGTCTTGAATGCCGACATAGACAGCATAGTATTACTCGAGAAAGCTATACCCGATAGAAGCCGTAAATAACGAAGCAAACAATTATTCCATCGCTTAATTACACGATCCGACTCTGCCACGGCCGCAATATCAAACACATGTTCAATATTCATGTTAGCTTGTATATTTAGGTCCAAACTACACCACGATGATGATATACATATTTTGCTATGTACATATTTTGCGATACTCGAACTTGTATAAGATCATAAGGTTAACTCGTTTGCTTTAAGGTTGAAAGGTCAAGATCCCTAAGACACTAAACCCTAAAGGTTTTTGATAATCCGTGAAATCCGGGAATCTTGAATGTTTTAAATTCTAAAAATGGGCTTAGGTATCTAAAGAAGAGTTATAAGCAAAAAGCTTCCAAGAATAATTAACGTTAAACTACAAAAGAGGATAAAGCTAGACTACAAAAAAAATAGGCGTTAGACCACTGTTTAAAACACCCCTTTGTTGTCAAGATTTCTCCAAAACAAATTGCAGTGTAGCTTCAGCCTAAGATTTTGCGATACATGTGTCCAAGCGTGACATTGCGGTATAAAAAGTTCAAATGGACGTCATTACAACCGATTAATTAACTTCTAACAAAATAGTAATGAAAGTCGTCATCGTCATAATTCTAAATGCGTCACACGATAAGCCATTCTCCTTCGAAACGATCAAAAATCATTGAACTTTAATCGATTACGTTTAGAGTTAAGTTATTTGTCCTTTCGAAAAGTTAGTTACTTAGATGTCTTTTTACTTTATTTTCGAGCGATAAATCCTATTCTAGTTTGTAGACTTGATGCAAGCGTTGGAAAAGCCTATGTCAAAAGCGATAATGACGAGCTCATTTTCGGCAAATGAGAAACCATTCATGTAAGGAGAGTATGGTGGAGACTTCTTGCATCATTATATTAGTTGTTACACATACTTTGAGATAGGTACTTAGCTTGAACTTATGATGCAATGATTTAGTGCAATGATAACAAAATAATCTACCTTCAGTTAAAGATCATCTTAGTAATGGTTATTATGCAACGCGCTAATAGTAGGATTTATTGGACAGTGTCTTTTAATGTCTTTTACTATTTATTTGATTTCGTACAGCGGAAGACTCGGTTTTTAAGGAAGAATTTATAAATTTAAAACAACTTTACATATTTTTTCTTGTAAATGACAAAGAAGAAATTACTTATTTTGATGATAACCTCATCGCTTCAAGCTTGAAATAAAGTTACGATCCCTTAAATAGAAAAACATAAAAACGCGCGCGTTCATCGATCAACTCGCGCGTTGTCAAGTGTAGTAGTGGATCAAATGACGAAAATAACGTAAAAGCGGCTTACGACACCCGCATCCTGTCTTTTTGAAACTTCAAAATATTGTAGGTACTAACTACATATAAAGCAGACACTTTTTGCCTTAGTGAGATAATAGAAAACCAGGTTATTAAAAATCTTTGTTACTTTAGGGACCTTTGCGATCATACGCTTACTTTATTACTTGAACGATCAAGACAACCGACTGGACATGAACTAAATCCAAGACCAAGTGGAGATGGCTTATAATAATGTAAGTTTGAATTGCTAAGTCAACGAGAACTCACGTTCAGGTTTATGAAGGGAGCATCTAATTTACAATGTCAGTCTTACTATAACTGGAAAGGAAATATTGGAGATAAAAGTCCTAGAAACTAACTGGCTTAGTTCATATATTCGAAAATGAATATTGCTAGAGTTTCTACCCTTTTTATTCAGGATGTAGTCACACACAGGTTCGTGAGTATATTTGAGCCCTTACATTATGACAAAAAACCCGCCCCCACAACTCAGTGTTAAATACCCATAACAACTTGCAGGTGGCTTAAATCAACAGACTCTGTTCAAACATTCATTGTCGAAATTCTGACTTGGAAATTTTCTATTCGCGTGAATGTAAACATTCCCAAAGTTAGGTTTGTAAGTATTTTTGTAGATTCAAATTTTTAAGGTGTTAAGTCATTAAAGAACAGGTAATGATTATAAGGTATGCCATTAAAGACTATTTAGCGATAAGAGTTTAACGAAATAATATTGGTAAACTAACCTTAGTAAACCCCACGACCGCCTTTTGAAATTTTGAAGAACTAACAGGGGGAGAGAGGAGAGCATCCTAGACTTTAGTTTCACGAATTTATATTATTAATTGCTTGATTACCATACCTATCTACATAATTGTTTTGCTTCATCTTGGAAATAGACAGTAGTTATAAGCCTGACCTCGCGTTTTCGTAGTTACACAAACGGGGCGATTTTAATCACTTCACGCGTCGATTATAACCGATGTCGGAACGAATAAACACTCTTAACCAGCAGTGTAAAGATAACCGTTATTTCCTATCGCTGATTGAGTAATTTCGATTTGCGTGTGCAACTTTCTATCTTCCTCCATCTTGTTCCTAATACAAATGCGTTGGGCGAAACAAATTGAAACGGATGCGGATGAAAACAAAGGTTTTTTTCTTCGTTTAAATGTTTATTTTGGACGTAGAAAGATTAGGTAGAAGTAGGTGTTCGACGAACTGGTGGGAGACCGTTTTCTACAGTTAGACGTAATAATTTGTTAAACTTATTGGATTAACAGATAAAGAGCTTTATCACTTAAATCCAGTAAGCAATACCTACGATTAATTTGTCGATTGCCGGTTTTACACATTAATCTCCTTAGTTCCTACCTAAACTTAACTAGGTAGCCTATAGGTAGTAAGTAGGTAGGTACCTACCTACTTTGTACGAAAATAGCCACAACCACAGTCGTTTGGTTAGGAGCCTAACACATTTTTTTCAGTTAGACGGCGTAGGAAAACCGGCTCGACGAGGAATGGCGATGCGAGTCAACAGGTAGGGAACAGGGCACTGACCTACAGTCGCCACTGCACAGCATGAATGGCACCGCTCAACGTTCAGCTGACAATCGAATACAACCTCAAATCGATTCTAAATAACGCCTAACAGTCAAATTATCACACGAAAAGGCTGGTAAACACTCTTATCTCACACGTTACTGCATAAAATAAACAATCACGCGTGTTATATTTACATTAAATGTAACGACTGCAGCGATAACCTTCACAAGTCTTCAACGGTATTTGGACGAATTACAAACAAATCCAACAATAAAAAACATCTCGTCTCGGTTTACTGTATTTTGAAGAGTAACTAAGTAGGTAATACAATCGAAATGCCACTCACCTTCCTCTCGCAAACTGCAAGCGAAACGAGTCGTTCCGAGCTAGTTGCAAGCAGCCCGTGTCCTTATGAACTTAACAAAGGTACTGTAACTTTCACCGGCGGACGCCAGCCCCAAGAATCGACCATATACGGGCTATACGGCCCTCTTGCTTCGCGATGAGCGAAGGTTCGTCTACTTACGCGCTTTTTTATTGAACGAAACAGTAACGTTCAATTGAAACGGTAAATTACGATTGCAAAAAAACTTAGACGCACTTCACAAACACTCGTATGACCACATTGAACGCACCGCACTGTCGCCGTGTGACATCCGCGAGGCGAAAGTCCTTTAGCGGGAGAGGTCCGTGTTGAAAAAAGTTGGGAAACTTTTCGTGTGTCGGTTCCCGTTCGAGCGTGCCGACACGTCTGTTCGGGGCGAACGCGTCGCGCGAATGCCGATTGCCGGCTCCGTGAGAGCGGACGAGGCGACAGCAGACAGCGGAGCGTGCGCGCGACAGAGCATCACGGAGCATGCGGGAGCGAGCGGGACGGGAGACCAGAAACCGTTTGTGCTCCCCTGCCCCCGCGTGCCAAAAATTAAGGGGAAGTTAACTAAAACACCTGCCTGTTCTCCTCATTTTTATTTTGGTCATTCATAATTTCGCAATTTTTCCGCTTCGATATCGGGAATAAATGACAATTTTTTGATTCATTTTTACTATTCTAGATAGGTAGGCTATGATATAATAAAAAGTTGAAACTAAAAAATACAGTAGATGGANTACATAGATGGAAATATAACTCGAAATTCTAAGTCAAAATGTGCGTATACAAATTTTTAGTTTTGAAAAATTATACTTAGTAACATGACATAGAAATAACATTATTGAAAGATTTCACTGGTTTATAAAAACACCCTAATAACAGTTATCTTATTCGAATACATCAGTCACAAAATTGTTTACTTACTAGGTACCTACAAATAATAAGAGAGAGAATGTTTATTTAAAAGACAAAACAGAATGTTAAAGTATTAACTTAATCAAAATAATGTAATTATGCAATGCTTGCAAGAAGTTTGATTAGCCAAAGCCCATTTATGTCATGTATATTTAATGGTAAAAATATGATTCAAATGCTAACTAGTGAAAATTCTCTCTTAAGTGGTAACATTTCAACTGTAGAAAAATAAACTTTGTAAGTCATCAAAGTTTTCAATTAATCTGCTAATTTATTGTACATCATCAAACATTTAGTTTGGGCATGTTATTTATTACAGTTTATAAATGAAAAATAGAATGATAGAGAGAAATACACTATGGGAAAATACACAAATAGGAAATGGCTTCCATGGCCACGCATATGTTAAATAAATTCATAAAATTTCATTTACATAGAAACATCTAAAGCACTCATATTTCACAATAGGTAAACAAGTACATATTTACACAGAATTAAGTAATATTAGCAATTAAAATTATTGCTTATTTGTATTCAATTAATTCATAATACATAAAAATAATCTCTTATATACAATACAAATTTTAATCCTAAAGAAAACATACTATCATTGCCGTAGTAAACCATCCGGAATACTTAGTTCTTGTGGAATTAGCAATGGATTTGCTGGAACCGGATGAAGTTTTGGCTCTTTCTTATACGCTGTATAGTCAGGTTTAGGTTTTGTGAAAAACTGAGTTCTTATAGATAAAACTATTGTATTTATAAAACTGATTATAATATAAATGCCACCAATAATGGAGAACAGTCTTAATGTAAATGTTAAAACGTTTTCCCTTTCCTGATATACTTTGACTTTTAACGCAGCCATGTCATATTTCAGGAATATTCCGGGCACTCCGTGAGACCCTTTGGAATGACTAATGGGGCGTTCCAACTCTTTCACTGAGTACTGGTAGGTTTTTATAGATTCAAATGTTGTGTCTACATCAGTGGGAACGACTTCAACAAAGTATTGGAACAACATGCTATCATCATTCGTTATCTTTTCGTCTCCTTCCAATGGGTAAATGATACCATTGGCAGGGCTGCCGAAACTAAGCCTGTTTATTCGATGACTGAAGTTCTGTGGAGTGTCATCGAATAACATATTCAAATGTATGTGTCCTCTGGGAAGATGCAAGCTCTTGCCAGCAGTTATGTGAAAGTTGCCCGCAACTTTGTTTAAAATTAGAACTCCATGCAGTCGACATGCATCTGGCCGTCGATTCGGTTTAGTTTTTCTTGGCGGTATCGTCGCGCGCACGGAACCATGGCCCTTCTTCCAAAGCAACTTCCATACTGAATGGTATTCCTCTCTTAGATACGAATTCAAATATTTCACCGCGTCGAAAGCATCTTGTTGTTCCTGAGTCAGTTCGAACCATGTATCCTCCTCCTGTAATTCTCCAAACCCGAAAACGCTTTGGGACGTCGAGTCCAATATATCAGCTCCAATATTAGAACAGGGCATAGCGACAGTGATATCTATGTTTATTGGCAACTTCTCGTCCATGTCTGTGTCAGGCATGAATTTAAACACTAAATTACTGTCTAAGTAGTAAGTTACTTCACTATAAATAAGCCACAAAATAATAAAAAAAGTGATCACTGAAAATGTGCCGCCGACCGGTGTACTGTCCACGTATTCTTCAGGAACTTTCGGGAAAGCGTCTAGTTCTTTGACTTTATCTAGAACCTTTTTCTTCCCACGGTACCTTAACATTTTATATGATGATGAATAGAGTAGCTAATAAATTATCAAATCAAAAACAAAAATAATTTCATGCACAAAGCAGTTGACGTGTTTTTGACTTTTGACACAACTATCAACTGTCAAGTAAAACGTCAAACAAAAATGATACGTCAGATCTTACGTTTTGCGTTCTGAAATTAGCAAATGAAAATAACGGCGTCGTTACTAAATAATTTTTAACATTATTCTGCCCTCATAAGCCAAAAAGCGGTATCTCAAAAAAAGTCAATTTTCAGATTTTTGTTGCATCTAATAGCTTATCAAATTCCCTATAGGTTAAATGAAGCTACATAACGCTATCTTACCCAGAACCTACCTTAAAACTACTAAGAAAATATTGCATATCTCAAATTAGCAACGTGACAACAACTTGTCAAAAAAACCAAGTCTCGCAACTCAGTTGTTCTACGGTAAAAAGTTGTGAGATCCATTTAATACCATGTCCAGGCCAGGAAATTTTTAACGTTTTACATAAATTATTGACTTGGCCATCGCACTAAATAATTTAATTTACACGTGTTTTCATGCGATGGCCAAGTCAATATATTTATGTAAAACGTTAAAGATTTCCTGGCCTGGACTTGGTATTACATGGATCTCACAACTTTTTACCGTAGAACAACTGAGTTGCGAGACTTGGTTTTTTTGACAAGTATTGTTTTTGATGGGCTCATAAGCCAAAAAGCGGTATCTCAAAAAAAGTCAATTTTCAGATTTTTGTTGCATCTGATAGCTTATCAAATTCCCTACAGGTTAAATGAAGCTACATAACGCTATCTTACCCAGAACCTACCTTAAAACTACTAAGAAAATATTGCATAATTATCTCAAATGGCAATGCCAGATTTTGTATGGAAAGTGGCGTCTTTTTTTTTTTCGCGCGGCCATCGATCAAACTTTGTTTTTTGATTACAAAATAGTGTAATAAACCAAACTTACTATGGCATGTATACCTCTAAACTCAGTCTGAACTGAGTTACGAGCATTAGAAGTTTGATGATTTTCATACTAGATTTGCTTTTTGTGCGCAAGTTTTGTAAGAAATTGCAACAAAATATTGCGCTATTTTTTTATTGCGCTGATTCTGCTCCATACTGATGTCTGGAGCCTTTGATGGATGGTATTGTTTGTTTATAATCTCACTAGTTTGTTGCAATTTCTTACAAAACTTTGCCATAAAAAGCAAATCTAGTATGAAAATCATCAAACTTCTAATGCTCATAACTCAGTTCAGACTGAGTTTAGAGGTATACATGTCATAAAACGTTTGATTTATTACACTATTTTGTAATCAAAAAACAAAGTTTGGTCGATGGCCGCGCGAAAAAAAAAGACGCCAATTTCCGGCATTGTCTTTTATACGATATTACTAAGAGGCTGAGATATTTACTTACGGCTCTTGCGCTTAGTAAAATTAGGCGAAAATATTTCGCAAAATGTGTGATGCCGCTGCACTCGCACAGTTTGTTGCACAAAAATAAACGCTACTAGATGAACAATAAGGACGATATTTAAATATGAATTTATCATAATCGGAACAATGTTTTTTACTCACTACTTACCAAAAATTTTATAAATAACGTAACTATTTTTCTACTTTTTAGTGTACTTTTTTGGAGTCAATTTATTTTGGAGTCAATTTATTTTGGAGTCAATTTATTTTGGAGTCGATTTTTTTAATAGTAGTTTATTTTCCGTAATTACCTAATTTTCCATAATTACATAATTAATTATGGAAAACATTGGGGGAGGCCTTTGTCCAGCGGTGGACGTCATTTGGCTGAAACGAACGAACGAGTTTATTTTATTTTTTACTTTAGTGTTTATAATCTGAACTAAACTCGGAACTGAACTAAACTTGCCGACTTGAGAAACTCGTTTCATATTCATAGGGCCAGGCTACTTTCCTGCCCTATTCCCCGCCACCTCTTTCTTAGGTAAATCGCGATTGTTGCAATTTTTTTCCAAGTGGCAATTAGTTTTACAATATTTTAATGAATTACATCCACGCGTAATTTTGTTCTCTACAACTTGATACAAGTTTCATCAAGATATCTCTAAAATTTCTGAAGTTATCGCTAAAAAACTAATGAGGATCATTTCGATTTTTAGCTGTGAATGCAGATTTATAGGGCTAAGAAATCCTTAATACACAGTCCAAAAATTTTTGTTCTACGACAAAAATTGACAAAGTTATGGCCAAATTACTAAAAAAGTTCACTGACCGCCCGGCGCGGGGACGATGACGTCACTATATCCGATCCGAACGCTGCCGGCGTACTGCGTGGATAGAAAATATTTTTTTCTAGCCAAACTATCAGTTTTAGAGAAAAACTTGTTATGAAATTTATTCATCAGAATAAAGTAAGCTATAGATAGGTAATTTTTAAAAATAGAAATTGTAAAAAATAACGCAAAAAATCCATACGCTCATACGATTCAATGGAACGCAGAGACGCGATTGGGGTCTCCGCGGTGGTATATTTGGCGATGATGACTTGCCTCTCCCCCCCTCCCACCAAGGCCAGAAGCTGGGTAAGGCTTGCCCCTCCCCCCAGGCTATAAGCTGGGTATGAATCTCATTTCTTTTTGTATTTTGTAGACAGCAGTTATGTATCTAGAAAACTGGACCGAAATTGAAAAATTTTACTCGACTTGGCGGTTGCACTACCGTGCCCCCAAATATTTTAGTTTTTCCTTGATTCATACACCAAACACTACTTATATTCCAAATTTGAAGCTTCTAGGTCTGCTAGAAGTGCCTTAGAATTTTGATGATCGGTGAGTCAGTCAGTCAGTGAGTCAGTGAGTGACAAAATTAAGTAACTTTGACCCGTTATAATTCTTAAACTACTGGTTCAAATTGAATGAAATTTTAAATATACCGTGTCTTTACAATGCCTGCATAGCTAATGAAAATTCAGCCTTCTAGTTTTATCCACAACGAAGTTACAGGCGCGTAGGCGGTCGAAAATGGCCTGAATTGCTTCGAGAAAAGGATGGTACGGCCGTGCCGCTTTTTTGCTCGACTTGGTGGGGGCACTGCCGTCCGTGTCCCCAGATTAAAATATTGTAAAAATTGCAAAAAATGCGCATAAAATAAAAACTACCAAACCAAATTTCATGTTCTTAATAACCAATAACGTTAATTATATGTAAAATATCGTTATAAATGTGATAAATTTTTAAACGTGATTTGACATTTGTTGACAGCTTGTGTCATCTGCAGATTTTTTTATCTGTGTTGTCAATTGGCTGTGCACGAAGTCGTACGCGACGAAATACGGAATTTTCTATTTTTATCCCCATTACAAGTTAAATACAAACATTTATGCAGTCCGACGAGGAGGACAGCGCTCTGCATTCATGCTTCGATTCGCTGAAGAGCGCAGTCATGGGCTGTTGTTATAGCATTTGCCATAAAGAATCGGATCCACAGGTATGTAATTTGAACTAGTTTTACGCGTATTTTGCGGTGTAGCGCATATCTAGTTGCTTTCTTACCGCATCGTTGTGCTAAACGTGCATATAATGCGGTTTTGTAGGTTTTATTTCGTTTTCATTGGTGTCATATTGGCGCCTGTTACTAATTTCCTCTGTAGTGACATTTGGCCTTTGTTATCTTCATTTCCCAGTTGATTGGCTTATTATCAATTGTTCTTTTTATTTAAAAATGTTGCTGTTTTTAACGCTTACTAGTTTACCGGCATTGTTTTCAACAGGAGTACAACCAAACGAGAAGTTAACTTTGTTCAGTTGCCTTTCTGTCTTGCTGTTGTCAGCTTTCTACTTTTGTGCTTAGTTATGCTTGTACTAAAAGATAAAAAGGTAGGCGTAATTGTGTCTTCATTAGAGCATAAAATATGATATGTTCATGATTAAATTTACTAGTTTTGTTTTAATAATTTTGTGCAAACTGGTTTAGCACACTTTATGAATTACCAAACATGTGATTTCACTTTCCAAGACTTTCATATTAATTATTATAGTTACAGCTTTAGTTTGGAGGAAGTGTTACTGTGATGATAGTTACTTAAAATGTATACAAATGTGTGAATGTTGATGTGAAAATTAAATGAACAAAGGACACATCTAAACTACAAACTTTCTAGTCCCTGTGATTAGGATTTGAATGGTTAAGAAAAACAAATGCACCGATTATCATCATTCATCGTACGTTTACAGGAGAACATAGTGAATGAGCGGACACATTTGCTAGAAGTGCCTGAACAACCGCAGGAGACGCCGGTGCCGGTGGCATCTGCATCCACCCCACCGAGGAAGCCAGATGAGCAGAGTGCACTCAACAGGATACTACATGAGACTGCCACGTAAGTATTGACTGATAACCTAATATTATTTTATGTAAATTGTCCTATAAATATAATATTATAGTGAAACCACAATTAATTACCTTTAATTCTTTATCTCATCATCATCTGTTCCCTGTTTACCTTTTTTAGTCCTTTCAACATCTTTTAATTGTTAAATATTAAAAATTAAAAATTAAGAAGCCTACGAGGGAAAGGATTGTACAGTGCACCAAAAGCCTGTTGCAGATTTAAAACCATTTTTTCATGATTAGAAATACAAAACTAGTGTTTGTACATATGTAACAGAAAACAAATAATTACCTCATTTAATAATAGCTATAATAGGATAAGAGCGTAATATTTTAACTGATATATTTAACTATGTTTATAAATAGTGGGTAAATAATATCTCCAGTTCCACTGATAAGTTGTGCATATGGCTTTTTACTATCAACCTTTTTACATCAATGTTAATAATAGTGTACTTCAATTTAATTTATATTGCATATTGAATGAATTAATGTGTGAAAGTATATCGCAACAATGTTTAAGAGTCATCCTCAGTTGATTGTTATTATGAATCTTATTGTTTTAAGATAAAAATATAATGAACATTAATTTTACTTTGAGAGCAGACACAGGCTCTTGAGACAGACTCTTAATCGCGGGACCCTTTGCACATATCCAGTATCCTAAGTAGAAAATAGGGTTGGTAATGGTTATGTGTAAAAGTGCAGCATATAAACCTGTTTAAACTTAAGCTTAAACCACAACGAAATCGCATACGATTCGTTGACGTCTGCGCCGCGCTAGCGCATTGTTCAATGAGGGCTATTGTTGTAGTTCTTTCTTTCTTTCATTCTTCGGCTGACGTTTGAGTGTTATCGGTACACCACGCTAAATAAATTGTCCATGAGTGCACACGCACATTACAGTAATGACGCTCGGGTTGCTCGGATCAAACTCCCCGCACCCCGCGCTTCCCTCGACCAAAAAATAGTGGGGCGCGTCTTCGTGGATGACACGATCTATGTTTACCTATATCCACAGTTACACGATAGACGTAGGAATTCATCGTCATTTCAGCCACAGGACGTCCACGGCTGAACATAGGCCTCCCCCCAATGCTTTCCATTTTGATCGATTGGTAGCGGCCTGCGTCCAGCGCTTCCCTGCTACCTTTACGATGTCGTCGGTCCACCTTGTAGGTGGACGTCTCACGCCGCGTTTTCCGGTACGCGGCCTCAATTCCAGAACCTTTCTGCCCCATCGGCCGTCAGTTCTGCGTACTATGTGCCCTGCTCATTGCCACTTCAGCTGCTAATCCGTCGGGCTATGTCAGCGACTTTTTGTTTCGTTTATGGATATCCTCATTTCTGATTCGATCTCGCAAAGAAACACCAAGCATAGCCCTCTCCATAGGACGCTGTGCAACTTTGAGCTTCTGTATAAGGCCTATAGTGAGAGGCCACGTACGGCACGTACGGACGGCACGGAGACGTAGGAATTGCCAAGAAAATAAATAATTATAATGTTTACCTGTATCCACAGCAACGTGATAGACGTAGGCGCTCTCGGGCCGTACGCGCTCGAACCAGGCGCGTACAGCGAGCGTGTTCGCGCGTACACAGCTCGCGTGGCGCAGGCGCCGCAGCCGCCGCCGCCCGCGCCACGCCTGCTGGCTGACGTGCCGCATGCGGAGCGCGCCGCGCTGCTGGCGAGGCCGCCGCTGCCGGCGAGTGATAGGGACCTGGTAAGTTGTTCATTTTGAACGGTTTCCAACAAAGCAAAGAGATGAAGTGGTTTCCGAACTGAGCAGAGAGATGTGGAAAACAGAATCTGATTGGTCTGAATCTAACAAAACACATCTCTTCTCCGCTGTGGTGGAAAGTGGGCCTAACGCAGGCAACCCTCGGGCTAGATTCTTATCAAGAACAAGACCATAATACCACATAAAAAGTTAGTAAAAAAAACCTGGGACCAACAAATGACTAGGATTTTGAAGTTGGCTTACAGAATTTTGTTCTATTTGAGCTCAACCTTACCTTCTTGCAAATTAGACACTCACAAGTTGCTTTGGGGTCACAAATTATGTGTGTTTTAAACGCTTCATTTCAGAATTTAAACTATAGATGTGCCGTTTGAACGAGGTCTAGGTTTTTGTACATATTTTTATTTTGCGTTTATAAAGAAGGAACGGTGTAGTCTAGACATAGATATAGTAAAACCTCTAAACCAACTCCTGTATAATAACGCCTAAAAGGTCAATGAAATCATCGAATCAACCTCCCATTTACAGATAACGAATGCCGTCAAGAAAGCGGCGGCAGCCATCTCCGAGCTTCGTGTGGAACACCACGAGGACCTGGTGGTGCCCTTCCGGGTGCCATAGCAGCGGACCCCTTCGTCGTGCGAGGGCGACCGCCGAAGCTACTGACGGCACCCCAGTGGCCCGTGGTAAGACGACTATTCGATAGAGTGAATGGAACGAGTGAACCGCAATGTTTGCGTTCATTCATTCTGTATTTATGAGGTTTATCTGTTATAATTCGGGGATAATTTCAGATCATTAAATGAATGAATGAATATTGACTCGTTCATTCATTTGATATAAAGAAGTTTGAACTTTATCTGGTGTTGTTTGGTTACAAATTGTAAACATAAATTGGATTTAATTGAAAAAGTTAAATGTTTAGCAGATACCAAAAAAAAAACAATGTTTAAAATCCCATAAAAAGATACATTTGTTACCAAACGATCCATTAAATTACGGTTTGACATTTGACTTTCACCATGGAATCACTTTTCATTAACTTTCGTAGTGATGTGCCGAATTGACTACTGCAGACCAGTTTTGATCGATAAATAATTTTACCGTACATATGTTGAAGGACTTAGATTGATCGGCGGACAACCTGTAACTTAGCAATCGATCTCAAAACTGTAGTTTTTAATGCAAATCAGTCATACATTATTGTAATTGAATTTACAAACAGTAGGTAAGTATTTATCAATAAACGTTATCAATGCAATTAAACATGTTTTGTTGGTTATCGTAATGACCACGTTGGATGTAGAGCAATGTTTTTGTGTTAATTTGGTTCAGATAATTTTTTGTTTTGACGAAGTTCTTTAACTTTTTTCATAAAAAAATTAAAACGTTCAGCACATCACTAATCGTGTAATACCGTCTCTTTCGAATCGTCGGTTTTAGAGATGGATAGAATATGTATTAGCTTTTTCACGTTACTAGTTGAATGTATGAATGAAACCACAAGACTCAGGCAGGAGAAATTTTCAAGGGGACAATTGTTTCAGAGACATTTTACATTGTTGTGCAACATTTCTCTTCTTCCCCTCCTACTTTAAAATCACGGTCATTGGTTTGTTTTTAAATATTTTAACTGTCTCGAAATCTTCATAATACCCTAGTGCCATTTTTATTTCAATTTTCTCAAAACATTTTATTTTTAAGATATAAAAACACTATAAAAGCGGTATATGAAGTGCCAAGTTCAATCAAGCCAAAACTAAACAATCCTAATAATACCAGTTTTTATAAACGTCCTTCATTTAAAAATATCTAGCTAATGGGCGATTTTTCGACTGCCAAACAATTTAAGTCATAAATTATCTTTGACAATTATGTCATTAATTTCATTTGAACAATGTCAAACTTGCTCTATGGTTAAAATTGTAGTGGCACTTGAATAGTCGACCTTGAGCTAGCGTGTACTGGTATAATATGTTTATTCTATTTATCCTTTATTAATAATCATTAATCATCCTGTATCATCGTGTGTGTAATAGTTTTAAGTTTTTAACCAGTATTTTCCTTGAAATACCTTTTATCATCATTAGTTCTACTTCTCCTACTTAATATTTATTTATCACTGTCCAATTTGTAGACCATCTTGTATTAATTTAAAACAGCACAATAGCAAATAATTACTAACATTATCATAAGTTTATTNACGATAGAGCCACAAGCCCAGTAGCGGACGTCCAAAGGGAAAAAAGGGGCAGAAAACCTGCTCCCTCAACTATTGCAATGAATTTAGACCTCAGTATCCTCCTAAAATTCATAAAGCCATACGATGGCAGTAGAGAAACCTTAAACTCTTTTATCATAAACTGCAACAACGCCTACAACTTAGCCACGGAGACCCAAAAACATATAGTTTTTAAATACATATTATGCCAACTTCAAGGGAAAGCGGAAGTCGCGTGCTCCATAAAAGAATTCACCAATTGGGAACAATTGAAGGAATTCTTGAAAACCCAATTCAGTGAACGTAAACATTATGCGCACCTGCTAATGGACCTCCAAGAAAGTAAGCAGGGCGGTAATGAAAACGTCAGCCAATACGCGCTCCGAGTCGAGACATGCCTGTCCCAACTCCTGACGGAGATATCGTTGTCGCAAACTAAAATCAAAGAAATTCCTGGTAGGACAGCCGCAATGGAGGATCTCGCTCTCCACCATTTCTTAATGGGATTACATCCCCGTATCTCCAATATAGTGAGATGTCGCTCACCATCAACCCTCAACGAAGCCGTAAACCTCGCCGTATCCGAAGAACGGATACAACAGACTCTATACAAAAAACCTGTTCCCGACCAAAGACCCAACAACAATAACAACAATCGATTCACGAGACCCCGTCAGAATTTCAACAACCAACAACAAAGTTCTCAATCTCAATCTCAACCTCAACCTTCGGGTTCCAACTCCACTGTCGTATGTCGATACTGCAAAGCCCCAGGGCACACTATCGACGTCTGTCGAAAACGAGAATACAATAACAGAATGAGGGGTCAAAGGCCTCCATTCAACACTCCAAATCCTCAGTTCCGTAGGGTCAACTTCAACCAGGACCAACAGGAGGACGACGAGGGTCATGACGAAGTTGACTTCAATCCCTCAGAAAATTTAAACGAGTAGTGGACTCCCGGCGGTGTCCCGCGAGTCCAAAACGCAAACCAACTCTGATTCCAAACGAAAAGACACCCACTGCATCCACTGTATCCACCGTATCCACTGTATCCGCCAAATCAAAGGCGACCGCTGTATCCGCTGTATCCGCCAAACCAAAGGCGACCACTGTATCCACTGCATCCACTGTATCCACTGTATCCGCCGAACCAAAGGCGACCGCTGTATCCACTGTATCCGCCAAACCAAAGGCGACCACTGTATCCACTGCATCCACTGTATCCGCCAAACCAAAGGCGACCACTGTATCCACTGCATCCACTGTATCCGCCAAACCAAAGGCGACCACTGTATCCACTGCATCCACTGTATCCGCCAAACCAAAGGCGACCACTGTATCCACTGCATCCACTGTATCCGCCAAACCAAAGGCGACCACTGTATCCACTGCATCCACTGTATCCGCCAAACCAAAGGCGACCACTGTATCCACTGCATCCACTGTATCCGCCAAACCAAAGGCGACCACTGTATCCACTGCATCCACTGTATCCGCCAAACCAAAGGCGACCACTGTATCCACTGCATCCACTGTATCCGCCAAACCAAAGGCGACCACTGTATCCACTGCATCCACTGTATCCGCCAAACCAAAGGCGACCACTGTATCCACTGCATCCACTGTATCCGCCAAACCAAAGGCGACCACTGTATCCACTGCATCCACTGTATCCGCCAAACCAAAGGCGACCACTGTATCCACTGCATCCACTGTATCCGCCAAACCAAAGGCGACCACTGTATCCACTGCATCCACTGTATCCGCCAAACCAAAGGCGACCACTGTATCCACTGCATCCACTGTATCCGCCAAACCAAAGGCGACCACTGTATCCACTGCATCCACTGTATCCGCCAAACCAAAGGCGACCACTGTATCCACTGCATCCACTGTATCCGCCAAACCAAAGGCGACCACTGTATCCACTGCATCAAAGTCAACCACCGTATCCACTGTATCCTCTGAATCAAAGTCAACCACTGTACCAAATGCAAAATCCACTACACCCAAGCGCAGGCCTTCCCTGACGACTCCGCTAACTGACAAAAACACACAAATTTACGAAATATCATTTGATCCCTCAATCAAATCGTTACCACACGTTGTAATCAACACAGCCGCTTCCGATATGCCATTGTCGCTTTTAATTGACACAGGTTCTTCAATAAGTCTACTCAAAAAGTCGTGTATCAAACCTCAAACTCCACTGAACGAGGAAAAGCTCAAACTTAAGGGCTTTAACTCTGCTGACGAATCCGTCCCAACGTTGGGCTCACTTAATTTGGCGCTATACTTAAAAGACAAACCCAAAGTTTCCATCAAACACAAATTCCACGTAGTGGGAGACATTGATTTCCCCTACGACGGCATCGTGGGTAACGACCTCCTTAACCAATTCAATGGCAGCATCGATTTCACGCGCGAAGTCCTGAAGCTTGGAAAACATATCCTGAAGTTATTCTTTACGGATCCTTATTACACCGTTCCAGCACGCTCAGAGAAAGTAATAGAGTGTTCAGTTTCTAATCCTGACCTTAAAGAAGGTGTCATCCTAGATCAGCATATATCTCAGAACCTACTAATATCAAACTGCTTAGTAAAAGTCAAGGAAAATGATAAAATTAACATAACAGTCGCCAATACTTCAGAACAACCAATAAATATCAAAACAAATCTCAATCTTCACCTGGAACCTCTTCATACCTCTGCGTATCCTGTCCATACTAGTAGACAAACGACATCCAAACGAACCGAAGAAGTAATAAATTCACTCAGAGCAAATCACTTGAACCAAGAAGAGAGAGATGCTCTTATAGATCTCTGCTCCCAATACTCAGATATATTCCACTTGCCAGGCGATCAATTAACTTTCACCACTGCTCTCGACCACAAAATCAAAACTACAGTCGACGAACCCGTTCACACCAAATCCTACAGATTCCCAGAATGCCATAAGCAGGAGGTAGAATCGCAAATCAACCAAATGCTTGACCAAAACATTATCGAGCCCTCTTCATCGCCGTGGAGCTCTCCCATATGGATAGTTCCCAAAAAACTAGATTCCCAAGGAAGACGAAAATGGAGAGTTGTCATCGACTATAGGAAGTTGAACAACATCACAATAGGCGAAACCTATCCCATTCCCCAAATCCATGAAATCCTCGACCAGCTAGGCAAGAGCAAATACTTCAGCACTCTGGATCTTACCTCTGGCTTCCATCAAATTCTCGTATCTCCTGAAGACGCACCCAAAACCGCGTTCTCCGTCCCTCAGGGGCATTTCCAATTCAATAGGATGCCATTTGGGCTTAAAAATGCGCCATCCACCTTCCAAAAACTCATGAACAACTGCCTTTCTGGCCTTCAGGGTACACGATGCTTCGTCTACTTAGACGATATCGTCGTGTACTCACCTGACCTATTTTCCCAAATCGACAACCTCAAAATCGTCTTCAACAGAATCCGTAGTTTCAATTTAAAACTCCAGCCGGACAAGTGTGAGTTCCTCCGGAAGGAAGTGGCTTACCTTGGCCATATCATCAGTGAAAATGGCGTTAAGCCTAACCCCGACAAGACCAACGCTGTAACAGAATTTCCAGTACCCCAATCTCCAAAAGATGTGAAATCTTTCCTGGGTTTAGTTTCCTATTATAGGAGATTCATATCAGATTTCTCAAAACTAGCTAAACCCTTAACTTCCCTCCTTAAAAAGGACACGCCTTTTAATTGGCAAAACGAGCAACAACTCGCATTCGAATCCCTAAAAAACAAACTTGTCTCAGCCCCGATTTTAGCTTATCCAGACTTTACACAACCCTTCCTTCTGACTTGCGACGCTTCCAACTATGCGATATCCGCAATATTATCCCAAGGTCCAGTGGGACGAGACCGTCCCATTGCATACGCATCTCGCACTCTCAATAAGGCGGAATGCAATTACAGTGTGACTGAAAAGGAATGCCTAGCAATCCTGTTCGGCACTAAAACGTTCCGACCTTACCTCTATGGAACCCGTTTCACAATCATCACAGACCACAAACCCCTCCAATGGCTNCGACAAAACCTCTCGTTAATCGCGAAGTGAAATGTTGTAGTACTTGCGTATCATCGCCGGGTGATCGTCAAAATACTAAAAATATGCAACAAAGTCGCAACATTGAATGTGAACTGATTATGAAATTTTCGAGAACAGGAAACAAACTGTATGCTCAGATGTAATCAAAAAACACACTGGACAGTAAAACAATCAATGATATCCGTAAAGTTATTAAACTTCTGTTGCTTGCTGTTGCTTGCTGAGTGATTGGTGGAATTTGACATATCTGTCAATGTCATGTCAAAAATAACCAATCATGCAGCATTTGGACCTCGGGTCTACGTATTGCCATCTGGCGGATTTTTCAATCGCGAAAACCCTCATTGAAAGAAGTTTTTTATTTTCTTAAAAATAAACAATGGAACAATACGTAAGCATAATTGCATAAAAAAGTAAAATAATTTCGTTTAAATAAAACCGACTTAAAATTAAACTGACTCCGAAAAAGTAAACACTAACCCCCTTATTAATAAAACTTACACGCTCGTTGATCAGTGTTTTAAAGTGACGTTTAGTATGGAAATGTCATTTTAAAACAAATCAACAACTGTGTAACTTTTTATTAGTAAGGGGGTTAAAGTAGAAAAATAAATTTACGTTATCTCCAATATTGTAGAAGTTATCGCTGGAAAACTAAACAAAGTATCGTATATTTTTTATTTAAAATTAATCAGTAATCGGAATAAGTGAATACTTAAAATAATATCGATTAAATTTACAGATTATTGTCTATGACTCACATGTTACGGCACTGATGTGTCAGAGACAAGTCATAGACAATATGGAGATAACCACAGATATGGATGAGATAACACATGTGGGTCTAGACAAAGTGCAAATTATAATCGCAAACCAGTCGATGGTGGTCGAAAAGCCCCTTTTTTGTATGGAGTTTTGACGGATTCGATTTTCGATTCGATCAAAAAGTGCGTTTTGTCTAGGGGGGATGATTTTAAACGTCAAGTCAATTTGACAAGTCTCACAAATTTTCATCGTCCACGTATTTTGCTAAAATAAATTGTTTCAAAGATTGATTTCAAACTTGTATAAACGTGAAAATAAAGTTAGTTTCATGGGCTTGTTAAATAATGTGTATGATATTATGAACACGTAAGTGATTATGGTGTAATTGTGTATGAAAGTGTTTGTTTACATCTCTGCTGGATTCTAAAAAATCAAGGTATAGATGACCCACGCTGAACTGTCCCGCCAAACTCAATGACAGGGGGGCGCTACCATCGTTCAACTATATGGTTTCCAACATGGCAAAAATCGAAACTAGCGATCCGGTATTGACGGTGGCGCCCCACTGTCAATGTCATGCATAGGACAGTATAGTATTTTGGAACTTTATATACGTTGCCGAGGCGGACATTTTGAACAAAATTTAATTTATAATAAACGATCAAAATAATTATTTTCGTCTTTATTTTCAAGAAATCCACATTGAAAAACGATAGGGGAAAGGTTTTTACATTGCACAAGATAAATATTTTTTACCTGTTAGGTGTTTAAAAAAGATGTCTCTGAGTAATGGCCCCGAATGTTTTTAGCTCAATAAATTTCGAAAGCCACAGCAAATAATATTTTAAATCCATCTATCTCTAATCTTTATCTCTCGCCAAAAAATCGTGTATTTTTTAAAGTCGCAATCTGCAATGTGCCAGGCGGCAACAGGTGGCAGCATTCAATGTTGATTGTTGGGTTCCTTCCTATTCAAACGTTCTTTCCCTTTCTTATCATCGTCTAGTCCCACTTTTACTCAACAGAGTCAACGCAAGTAAGAAAGAGAAAGAAAAACTATCTTTTAACTCTGCTGACGGCCGGCATGGTGCAATCCCGTATACAATACAATACAGCCAGTCAGCAGAGGATTTTATTTTGTACTGCCTAACTGCTTATGTATTACCACAGAATACATAAGTATTACTTTGCTCTATGCTGTATAGTGGTAGTCTAGGCATGGAAATGATTGCTATTTTTCGTTCATTTTCATTTCATGAAATGATGATTTTTATTCATGTGATTTCACATGTGAAAGGATGATGGGCACTTTTCTATGGAATCTGGGCGTAAAACCAACAGAAATGTAACTACTATTATTTGTTAGGACTTAGTATCAGAAATATATTTTTATATAAATAACTACCAAAAACTCCCGGGTTTGCTTGGAAATTGACATAATGTATAATAGTAATAGGTGCTTTATTGCGCTAACAAAAAATATTATTAATTAATATATCTACATTTATACATTAAGTTATTTATCAATTATTATGTCCAACAGTTCAGGAGTGGGGCCAACAAAATGGTATATAATAAACCATGTTCTACATTATGAGCGTAGGATCATACCTAGGTACCATTTAGAGAAATGACATGAACGAACACAGTCATATTTCAATATGATTTCTACCATTTAAGTTGTAGTGTTGTCGCATAAACGATCACGGATCGATTATTAATCGATACTGCCAAATAATGATTTATCGATTAACAATTCGATTAATCGATTTTATTGATCATCATCACTATCATTTGATTGTTATCGATTGTTGTCGATTCCTTATTTTCAGCAATATAATCGATTTATTGCAATCGAATAATCGATTATGATTTATTCGGTATACATACTTACTAAATCGATATAATGGATAATTGGATAGTAAGTATATGATACAATACTCTCAATATGATCGATAAAAGCAATCTAATTGGGCTAATACTATTTTTATTACCTTAATGTGATGTGAAATACTATGGAAACTTTGCATATTCAACTACCTCTATCTCCGTATCCCCACGTATTTCAGGATTGTTGTCGTACTATGAATTGAAGTACTAGTATTATAAGCTTTAATTTAGTATACTTTTTGTTTCTGTTGGTTTAACGCCCAATATGCCCATCATCCTTTCACAGGCAATGATTTTTATTCGCAGTGTTAAAATATAGCTCTTTCATATAATGTGCTACTTTTAATGAAGTATGAATTATGATGAACGATTGCTATTAGCTACCTATATTGAATGTGACTTAATATCTGTTTGATTTTATGTCGCACAACAAAAAACAAACAGTTCCACAGCACAGTATGTATGCAACAAAACAATCACTAACCGCGCGACTAGTGAAAAATCATTCATTTCATCTGCCTGCTATCTAATGAAATCATACGAATCATGACAAGGAAATCTAAACCTTACTCCTTTGAGTTTAAAGTTCATATTTAAAATGCTCAGTTTCGTTCGTCATCACATCTCTTGTCCTTTTCTAACACGCACATGATCAAATCATTCCTTCTTACTCGCTCGGTCACTTAGCAGAGCAGCGCTCACGGACTTCGCTCGAATGAATGAATGAAATTCATGTGATTCGTGATTTCGTTGACTGCGAAATTATAGCAGTCTATGTGAAGAAAAATAGCAGGTGTGATTAATGAAATTCATTTCATATGATTTTTCACCTGCTATTCATGAAATGTTCCATGCCTAAGTGGTACTGTGGAGGATTCAATCATTAAAAAATAAACTGTCAACTGATAGTGCAATCAATACTACAGCCTGTCATACCTGCGCGGTGCAAATTAGAAAAATAAATCAATAATCTTTTCAACTGAATGTACTGTGTTTGTCTTCAAAGAAATTTGAATTTCACAAAGGTTCAGTATTACATCAATTGAATCCTTATGCGTTTGTGAAAAAGTTTAAACTAGGTTTCAAAATGGAAGTGCAGTTCGGGCCCAATCCGGTAGATGAAAAGGTAATTTTATTCCATAAAACTTCTAATAGCTACTGTAAAGGCATACTTACAGAAATTTCTGAATTCTTTACCCATTGCATTAGAATTTATCTTGTATTGAGTTTGAAGAGGTTATAATGGGTCCAAAACTGCTATTTTCAGAACTTGGTATTTAAATTTCAACGAAAAATTAAAGTTTTCAACACTGAAGATCCATTACCCAATAGAGGCTACAATCTAGTGGCTAGCAGCTCAAAGTATGGGATCGTTTTTGTAGCATCCCCTGATGGTTATTTGTCGGGTAAGTACAATATGAATGTTTGTTTCTATTGCAGTTCAACAAATCTTTTCTAATTTATGTGTGGGTGTGTTCTTCAGACACACCTTAGCTTAGTTTGGGATAGATAGTAGAGGTTCACAATGAATTTCTGACACAGTATAATATTTTTAATTAAAATTTTTGCATTGTAAAATGTATTTATGTCACAATATCACAAGACCATTCAAAATGATCAAGTCAATAATAAAAATACAAAACTATTAAGTATGAACAGTTAATTATATTTGTTTATTCAGCTGAAAATGTATCAAATTTCATAATTTTTGGTAATGCATATCAATATTAACTGGTCTTTTGCATTATTTTTTTATTTATTTTGTGTTTCTACAACAGCCTATAGTCTTAGTGAGCTTATTGATAAGTCCAAAGATGGCTTACATCTCACTGTCAAACTCCAAGAGAAACCAACACACATTGCCGTGAGCTGTGACAATGAGCTTTTGGCTGTTACGGGAGGCCAGCTCTTGTGTATTTACAAGGTCACCGACTTCCAGAACCAGGTTAGACATTATTTTGTTATATTTTATAAGTGTTGTTTTTGTAAGTTATTCTTGTGAATGCTACAATGTAACCTGAGATGCCTGCAGTATCTTTTTTGTAAATAGTAGTAATGGATTAACGATTATCATACTTGGGATAATTTAACTGAATTTCACCTCATCATTTTCAATTTATTTCAGAATGTTTCACCATCTCTGTCGCTCAGATGTGATGTCAGCCCCTCTACATTTGTGTCGGCTATGCAATGGAACCCATGCATCCCTGATTCTCTAGTGATTGTGTTTTTCGATGGCACATTACTGGCTTGCCAGGCTAGCACTTCTCAAGTTAAGAAAGTGCAGTCTAAGGGGAGGTAATAAAACTCATAACACACTCATACATTCCTAACTGTTATTAAATTGTCTGTTCACAAATTATAGTCATAAAATTTATTATACATTTATGTATAATATGTATTTGTAAGTTTGGTATCACAGTTATTCTCAAGTTACTGATATGGTTTAATCCCTGTTTCTGTTGATACTGTTATGGTGCGTCCACACTGGGCGCACGGGCTGTCGCGGCACACTCGACATCCTGATCACTCAAGAGCAGGGTGAGCAGGATGACCAGCGCGGCAGCGTGCCGCGCGAGCCCGTGCGCCCAATGTGGACGCACCATTAGATTAAGTGAGCTGCCACATCCGCCGGTGTGGCAAGGCCCTAAATTTCACTACTATTTGTAAAATATTGTGTTAAAGTGTAAGGTCAAATTGTGCTTCTTGACTTTGATTTTACATGTGAAAATAATATTTCTTATATCATTCAATAAATATAATTTACATTTTACAGATGTCTTTGCTGGAGCCCCAAAGGCAAGCAATTTGTAACGGGCAACAGCGACGGAACCCTCACTCAATATAAGCCAGATCTGACAGCCGCTAAGTCTGTGCCTGCCCCTAAGCTCTTTGAGGGCGCTCCACTAGAGGCCTTGGCTATATACTGGATCTCAACTTTCCAGTTTGCTGTGGTCTATAAGAATGCTACTGATAACAGTCGACCTGGTGAGTATCAATAAAATCCTAAGATATTGTTTTTGGGTAGCTATAATATTCTTACATTTTTACTCTTCATCATCATCATTTCAACCACAGGACGTCCACTGCTGAACATAGGCCTCCCCCAATGATTTCCACATGGCCCAGTAGAGGCCCCTATCCAGCGCCCTCTTATCGTCGTCGTCGTTTCAGCCGAAAGACGTCCACTACTGGACAAAGACCTCCCCCAAGGAATTTCACGAAGACCGATCCTGCGCCGCTCGCATCCAGGCACCTCCCGTGACCGTCATCAGATCACCCTCTTATACTCAGCTTTAATGTTTTTTAATCTTCCAAAATGTTGGAGCATCTTTGTGGCCCTATACATAAGTAGGTAAAATGATATTGTAAAATTAATAAATTATTTCTTTACAGCTGTAACCATAGTAAACACCCCAAAAGCGGGTCAAGCAACGTGCTTGAATTATGAAGATGTTTGCTATAGCACAGGGTCAAACAGGCCCTGGTATTACTATTTATTGGGTCTTGCTCCTTGGTAAGATTTAATGAATTTTAATTATTTACCTTCTTTACATTCCTCTAGCAAATAACCTAAGGCCAGCTTTTTAAACGCCTCTAGAAAATTGAGACCAGTCTAGGGAAACACTTTCTGAAGAATATGTCTTGTATAGTTGCATTTGTCTTTTGACTATCTGTATGTTAATCTTTGTCTTCCTTTCAGGAACTTAATATTGGCTTCGTCATCGAATGGAATGGAAATTGCAACAGTAGCGTCAGCTGACGGCACTAGCTGGGTGCAGTGGTCTTTGGTAATTTATAATACCTTTATTTAAAACAAAGATACTGACAAAATTATAAAATAACTAGCTGACGCGGCGAACTTCGTACCGCCTTAGCGTAGAGATTTTCTTAATATTTTTTTCCGTAAGAACCATCCTTGGACTTCCACAAACATTTTAAAAAAAGAATTATCGAAATCGGTTCAGCCGTTCACACGTGATGCCGTGACAACGCGAAACGGGTTTCATTTTTATATATATAGACTAGCTGTGCCCGCGACATCGTACTGTTACATCCCTCTGATGTACATAAAACCCCTGATGCCCAGAAAATCCTGCGGCATCAGCATTTTTGCCCGAGTTGGCTCGCCCGCTTCACGGGCTCGCCAGTTCTTCGCTACCACTCGTGCGTGACGGCTGCCTCTTTCAAATCCAATCATTGTATTTTATTTTAGCTAGAATAATTAGCCTTTTTTAAAAAGACTCTATCAAACCTCGGCCTAACATTGGTGGCAGCTCAAGGGATTTATAAAATCCTCGGTACCGCGTCCGAAGTATAGTATAGTGAACAAACAGTGTGTGTGCAAGTGATCCAAGTTCGAACTCAGAATCTCACCGTATCTCACTGNCCTCGGCCTAACAGATTGCTATGCAAGAAATGTTTTTAACTTCACAATTTTCTTTTTAGTTTCCGTCACGTTTTGATTTTCATACGCGTCATCAGTAACATCGTGATCGTAGCAATAAGGTTCTACTGCTTGGCTTGGCTTGTGCCTGAAGGGCCGCTCAGGTGGCCTGAACACGGCTCGCCATCCATTGTGAATCTGCAAGGAGTACGGTTACCAACGGATTCCACCTTCATAAAACCGACTTCGAAAATGGAACTACCCCATAAACTTGCAATGAATGAAACATTATCACAATTCTGACTGGGAAAAGCTTACAAACATAAATCAATTGGTGGCTAATAAGGAAATCGGCAACTTGATAGAGTAGGTACTCGTACAGTGTTAGACCTTTACGACTGTGGTAGGTGTAAGTAATTGGTACTTGAATAAAAGTCGCCTGTTATCTTACCGCGTCTTTGGAATGCTGTCTGCTCAGTTTTTCAAGCTGCCATCTGTGCAATAGAATGTAATTGATACTGACATTTACTTGCAATATTTTATATGAAACGCTCGTTCCTAGTAATAGTACGTTTTCCAGTAACTTGCCTTTTTACAAATTGCTCTTTTTGTGTTTGATATAAATATGGGTTATGCAAATTTTCGCCATAAATATTACCTCCTAGCTAGCCTTTCTATTTTATTTTATGTTTTTATATAACAAAAAGAAACTACATTTTATATTGGATGAAAGTCACAAGAAAAATACATCATGGCTATGAACCATAATGAATATTTATCAGGTTAACTTTGGGTAAGAAGATGCATACCAGGCAATGCGTTGTTGGCAGCTGAAGAAAAAATGCAATTTAAGAATGCAGGCACGTCTACTCTTCGTTATTATTATTGCATAAGGTCGTGAGAAAATAAGCGATATTAATTAACAAATTGTTAATAATAACGAGCATAAATAGCAGTGGCATTTATAAAGTTTCCAGTCATAGTTAACGGCTTGCTTATTCTAATTACGCTATACTCAGCATTTACTCAATAATGACCAGTGTTCAGTTTTATTGCACTTTACCGTCCTAAGAGGGGCATTACTTAACATTCATAGAGCATTACAAGTCTTGAATCTTCGTATAATTAAATTTTAAATTGGAGCACTGTTAGAGGAACATCGGAAAATATTATGAATTGATTGACGATGATTGTATTTCCTACATAGACTATATACATATTATGTATTACTTTTACGTTTACACAATAAATTCGAAACTGCGAAATAACTAAAATATTTACGTTTAAAAAAATAGCATCCTACTGGGAAATCAACCGCAAGTCGGGCTAACGAATTTAGTATCTTGGAAAACCGAGTTATATGTAATACAGCGTATTTTTGTATGTATTAATAGTTGGTAATATGAAATAGTTTATAGCAATTCAGGTAATGCATTTTATATCTAGGATGGCGTCATGAACAACATATTATTATGGAAAATTTAAACGTGCCTGCCATGTTATACTTCGCATTGAATGAGGTCATGTCAGAAGATGAGTCTAGTCACATATTTTATTATGTTTATAATTATTGAAAATAGATATTAGAATATTTGCCTGTATTTCTAACATAAGCTTTAATGGGACAAATACAAAGCGATGACTGATTTAATCATAAAATTTGATTATTTAATTAATAAATCAAATGGCGTTAAATTACTATTCATAATGTTGTATACTATTCATAACCTATAACGCTCGCACACTGCGTACAGACGTGAAGCTAATGGAACTCGAGGAAGAATTGAGCAGGTTACGGTGGGATATCGTAGGATTATGTGAAGNCCCCGGCCTAACAGTCCGTTGAGAGACCACACATGACGCAACCAGTTTGAAACTTTCAGTTTCAGTTTCATTCATCAGAATCATCACAAAGTTGCAGTTTCGTTGCAGTTGCGTTTCACCGTCTGTTCTGGGCCTTACAGTTTCTGAGATTTCGTGATGAGTGAGTCAGTCAGTGACTCGACTACTGTACATTTGCACTGTGTATGCGACATGGCACTTACGAGTACGTGCGTATATCCACGGACGGGGAAAGTTGGAATCGACAGATTTAGGAAGGAAGTTTGTTAAAATGTTTATTGATGGAAGCGGAGCAATTGAAAGTGTATCCGAGGCTCCGGCAAAATGACGCGTATTATTGAACTCGGTACTTTCTTACTTCCAACTTTGCAGTATATTTTTTTGTTAAAATTAGTAATGCAAAACCATAATTATTCTTCAATCTGAGATGAGATGAGAGCCTCAAGATGATTTTAGAATAATAATTGGTAGTAACGCGTTGGTAGATGTCATTATTACTACACTTCAGACCCATCCAGAGTTCCTATATTCGATTCCCAGTGAAGGCAAAGTTATCGGCACTAACTTATAAGTAATCTGGTTGTTGGAGGTTGTTGGTCGATTTTGCATCAAAAACGTATAGTCTGCTATATCGTCGTCTGTACAACAGCAAAAATTTAAGTCAAAATCCTGGTATCAATCTACTATTTGTTCACTATTGTTCAATTATTATCTATTATTATTGTCATCTGACACGACTGAACCATACGGCTTGGTACGGTCTCCTACGCACGAAATCATATTTATTTTCTTTCGTACCCTTGACAAATCCAACCATATTTGCCGCAAAATAAAATGCAAGACCCGAAATTAAAATTTTGCCTCATCAGGGCGGGCTCATCAAAAAGTTCGTAAGCAAAATAACGGCCTGGTAATTGTTACAAGTGGAGCACTAATTATTTCGGCAATCAACCCCACCTAACCACAGACAAGATAGAACAGTATGTTTTGAATTTACGTCGGACATGAGGGGTGGCGTTTGTGATTTATGATGAAGTGCCCATAATATTTTTTTAACCCTTTCTTTGAGTTAGGAAATTGGCAGAACAAATGCCAACTGTGCCTACTTCTTTGCTGTATTCATGAGGATGTGAGTTCTGATCATGAATTTTATTGCAGTGTCGACAAAGCAAATTATAACGTTGTTGACCATAATACTACTGATTTCACTTACCTTTTACACACAAAATCAAAAATATTATTTCAAACAAATGATATTGTTTGTACCTATACTGTACTGTACACAATCTTAGCAGTGAATTTAGCACAAGACTTGCAGGTATGTACTGCAGCAACTGATGATTTAAGTAGATATACTCACGCCCGTATTCACAAACATTACTACGAGGTCTCACAGTGCACGTGGACGCACAGGGTGATACCAGATGCACGAACCAATCACAGAGCTCTGTTCAACTCTGTGCGCCTGATTTGCTGCTTCACTTAAGCAACTTCGTTTCTGAATACGGGCGTCATTCTATGTACAATAATAATGCTTCTTCCACTGGCTGTTCAATTTGTGCTGTGGCACAACTAAGCAACTCCAAATCCCTCCTTTGCCCCGAAAAAATCTTAATCATCCAACTTGATAACAAACGCCTTTCAACTTTGCACAACAGTTTTTTTCTCTTTGATGAAAGAAATTGTATTCGCACTTTCGTGAGTTCAAGTTGTTTGCATTTGAGTTTATAATTTACTAGGTAGCTCTCTTTCTTCTCAGCTACTACTTGGTAACGAGCCTCTTAAAATAGGTCTTACATGTATTTGACTTTCACATAATCGTTCCTTTCATTTTATTTACATAATTAGAGCAATATTTGGTAGTCCATTAGGTGCAACGTTCATTTCAATCAAAGGATACCCAGTGGACAAAGGCTTTCCCCAAAGCCTTCCACAATGACCAGTCCTGCTTTATTAACATCCAGATGTTTTCCATGACCTTGACCAGAGCATCAGTCCATCGAGTGGGAAGAGACCCGAAAACTTTTCTGCCTCAACGTCCATCAGTTCTACGAGTTGTGTGCCCCGTATGTGTAAGGATTTAATGTCCTCAAACTCAGGGAACAAAAACATAACCAAAACAAACCATGAATAAGCCAAAGCTTAGTTTATATTAACAAATCCACTCATATATCTGGCCAAACTGCTTGTAAAAGTACTAAAAACTAGGAGGATTCATAGATTAATTCCACATTCTGCCCTCTGGCGGCAAGCGTGGAAATTAATGTCTTAATCTTGGAAATTTATTCATTGCAGCCCGTGGCGTGCCCAAATTAAAAATGCCCATGGAATGTAATAAAATAAGCGCTGGTATAATTCGTTTCCTTTTATTATATTTATAGTTTTATAGTGATGCTAAATTGCCAGTTATCTCCCCAAAAACTGCTACTGTATTATGTTACCTATATACCTGCGCTTCTACACCACTCAAGCGACCACTGAAACCAACGTTGTGCTAAGTGGGAAGACTTTTCGGCTAATAATTTGTCAATTTTGGAATTCTTCTGCATATGCTAAAAATAAATTTCTATATATCCTACTATCTATTCTGTTCAATAAGGCTGGGTTGCACCATCTTACTTTAACTTTGACAAACGTTAAAAATCTGTCAAATTCCATACAAAAAGCACCGGTTATCGTTATAGCTACGGTCAAAGTTAGGTGGTGCAACTCAGCCTAAGATTCATGTCGAAACAAACACTTTAGAAAATGTTTTTTTTTATAAATTATTAAAATTGAAAAATGAATTAAGGCCCTAATAATACAACAATGAAAATAAGTAGAATTAGTCTGATATTTTAATATGAAACCAAAATTCACTGAATATTAACGTATCCAGTTTTTGTGGGCACACCGTTTCGCGTAACGCGTTAAGTGGGACCTCAATTATTCTTCTGAAATCGGTCGTAAGTTGTAAGTCGCGAGGCAAAGACAAAAACTGGACCACCACATTTCAGGGGCGAACTCTCCGGAAACCTATTTTTAACACCCCTGTCAATAAAACTGCGGGGCAAATAAACCGCTGAAAACACAACTTGGATAAACTATAGAATGTATTATTCATGCTAATCACTATGAAAGAGTATTTAAATAGCTTGCTTTTAGATTTGAAATTGGGCAATTCATAATTTTTTAAATTGTGGATTTTCCATTGAAGTAATATTACTACGTAGTACATTATAACTCAATGGGATTTTCAAAAGTTTTTACTGCTCTCGTTATCATAGAGTACATTGAGCATTCTTATCCGACTTCAACAAAAAGAGGAGGTTCTCAATTCGGCTGGTTTTTGTTTTCTATACGTACACCGATTATATTTATAAGTTCGACAATAGCCCCACATTGTGGTCAACTCACTTCTAATATAAACACGTATCTTCTACGTTTAGTTTATAAGGATAATCGAGATTGAGAGAGTAGTAAATATTGGTACACTACAAATTACTTTTTAATAAAAAGTACTCCAATTTTTACACTTTCAAGCAATAATGTCATCAAAAAATACAGACATCATTACAATTCCACAAACAAGTCACAAACAAAAAACAACTGCCCACAAAACTTGCAAAAAGGCAGGGGCGGTCAACCGCTCGCGCTGTTGCGCCCTAGAAACCTATTTTTAACACCCATGTCAATAGCAGTTCATAAATAAGCGCAAGGAGCTGGCCAGTAAGTAATGAGGCAAACGTATAGTGTGACTGGGCGCGCCGTTAATTGATTGGTGGGCGCGCCGCGATGAGATCTGCAGTTAACGTGTGGGCGTGTGTGTAAACACGCTTGTTTTAATGGAGAAAGTGGAGGTATACGACCTTATTACTAAAAAATGTTATTTCTAAGGCATTTACCTAACCCCATACTTTACTTGAATTGTCATCATTGAAATAGGTTAAGACTTATTGTAATTACAGAGTGAATACGTAAATAACTTTATTAAGGATAATTTATAATTCCACCAGTTGGCCCGGTGAACTTCAGGGTACTCTACCCTAGCACTACCTACCGGGAATTTTGTGTTTTCAAACGATCTGACGTTGGGCCGATTTGGTTGAAATTTTGTATGTACTCGTATTCCTGATACGAGTACATACAAAATTTTAACCAAATCGGCCCAGCTGTTTAGGAGTATTAGGTAACAAGCACACGTACAGAATAATTTTAAAGATAACCTTTATTTTTTGTTTCAGGTAAATCAACTTTTGCCGTTATTCCACAAGGGTTTGATAATAAGTTGTAGAAGTTGTTATTATAACACTGCCAAAGTATAAACGAATGCAACTTTGAGTGTCACGCGACGCGTTTTTTGCGGTATCTCTAGCACGCGTGACATCTAAATTTTCAATGATTATGTACTTTTCAACCTTACTAGCATAATGATAGGACTTATTTTATAACACGTATCTCACGCAAGCTTGCATTTTACTGCCACGTCTTGTAAGTAGCTTTTAATTTGACAATTACTGACCTTGGTTGCACAGTGTACCTATAAGTTAGGATTACTAAACTATCATAATTACGTGCTGCATCGTATTTTCAAAAACTACACCATACAATCTCTTGCTTACACACCGTAAATTCCAGCATCAAACACGGCTTGTTCGGGTTCGCAGGGCAAACATAGGCCTCTATTAAGCCGGAGCCCGTCCGTGCCTTCGGCCCACTGTGCAGGATTAGCCAGGCATGGGTTACCAACATTGCCAAGACCCACTGTTTGAACTGGAAATTCTGTGATAAAAGTCTGATAGTTTGGGAATGTGTGGCTGGGTGATGTTGCAGTTTGATGTGATATAAATATTGGTACTAAGCAGCTTTTCTTCTATATTTATTGATTCTGAATACGTGAGATAGAGTTAAAAATTATATGGTGAGCTATGCTGGCATTTAGGTCCTTAATACAAGAATGAAGCGTAATTTTCTGTCTATTAGTTTTATATTTGGATACATGTCTTTCAGAATTAAAATGAAAATAAATAATAAAAAATACATCGGTATTTACACCAAAAGAGCTTACTCAAAAATTTTTGCATATTTATTTTTGTACCTTTCATATCGCAGTTTCTCGCAATAACGTTTTATTGAGTGGATTTCATTTGAATAAAAATACGTAAATCTGTACACGAGCCTGGAAAGCCATCATTGCACAAAATTTGTTAAATAAAGAATACAGCCCGCTCGAAAAATCCACGATCACATCCCAGTACACAAAACTTTTGATTAAAACTGCGTCAAAGGTACCAAAAAAGTTATTTTTTATGAATACACGGTCACTTTTGAAAAATGTGCAAACATTCCGCTTTGAAAGAAATGTCTACTGAAACAAATATTTACTGTAAAATGCTATGCGTCGCCGGTGGCTCTTCTTCTATCCATGTGAAATTCTCCTTAAAATATTCTGGTGCTGATCAACTTTTAGTTATGCTTACCTTTTGCAAAAACGTGTTAGCTAGAAACTATAATTTTTGTGGCAGCTACGAGTATATCAAAACTGGCAATAGATAATAATGAGTATTGAATACGTACAAAAAATTTCTTCCTCCATATAAAAATAGTTTTTCCTTAGTTACAGCTCAGTTATTTTTGGGGTAACAAAAATAGTTTAGCCTCTTACTTTTTAGTGTGAAAGAAATACCGACCAACCTTTGGGAGTTATGTAAATTCCTGAAATACTGGCTGATATCCGAAAATAGTATTAACTGTTCTTTTTGGAAAGGTATTTTTAGGAGCGGATCAATAGTTCCAGATAAAAGATTAACAAAATCAATGAACTAATTGACACTGGCCTATTCAATGAACTAATTCAATCTTACTTGAAGACATCCAGTGGTTTTCAAAATTAACTTCATCACTATGAGTTTTTGAGTATATCTATACCTTGATATTATGTCCTACTCTATATTTGTAGCAGGGACATATTAAGCAGATAAAAGTGCTTCATGGCAAAGGGTGCCTTGTCGACGTAGATAAAAGGTTTGAAATAAGTAAATATCTATAGATCGTTTCATCCACGAAGACGCGCCCCACCAATTTTCCGCTAATTGAGTGTTATCGGTACATGCTAAAGTATCCTTGACTGCACACGCACACTACAATAATGACGCTCGGATTGCTCCAATCAAACTTCCGCGCCCCGCGTTTCCCTCGCCCAAAAATTGGTGGGGCGCGTCTTCGTGGATGAATCGATCTATACCGGTGTGTGTATGTATATTATACATAGAGTCGCACTAATTATACGTCTGCGATAATATTATTTATCTTTATTCCGCCCTCCCGTAGCCTCCCTGGAGGAGCTTGGACATTTCAACTGAAACTAAAGCGGTGTGTGCATTAGACAGAACATACTAAAACTAATAAAGCTGCAAAACTGAGTCCTAATGAGTGCATTGTTAGGACCCCATTCAACGTCTTTTTGTCCACGAGATGTAAAGATGCGTTCACACTGTTAAAATAAAAACAGATTTGTGAAAAAACTTTTTGATTATAGTAACTGTTAGCACTATAGTGGTTTACTATTTGTTTGGCATTAATAAACTTTATTTGAACTCTCCTTGTATTTATTATTGAAAAACTTACCATTGTTTGTCTTCTAGTGTGTCTTGTTGGTTGTCCTATTAAATAAATAAAATAAAAATACAAATACTAAGCAAATAGGTTGTTTGAGTCCATTCTTATATCTGACAGAATTAATTATTTAAATGTGTCGTCCTACGCATTAATAGATAGCTAGCTATATTGTGTTACAGTCAGCTTCAAATAGTTCTTGACACCCAATGTGGCCAAAAAGTTGGCAACACTCTAATTCCAATTGTAACAAAAACGTGTTACAAAATTTTCGTCTACTTGAGTGCCACGAACTATTTGACGCTGACTGTACAACAACGGGAAATATTATTTAATTTCGCCTAAAAAGCCCGTTTAAAATATGCATGTACTCGTATGTTTAAGTCCCATAAGACTTACTCTTCCAATTCTCGCCTCAATTTCCCATAATTTCCTACGACTGTCGTATAAATAGGGACGTACCGTTCAAATCGCGCTTCGCATCTGTGTGTTGTTTGCTTTATCGTACTTCTGTCGGAAAATGCGATTTCCCCCCGGTATTGTGATGGCCGACCGCATGTTTTGATACAAAGTAATTACAGGACAGTAGTGCAAACAAATTGTGAGACTTTGTGTAGTGAGGTAGGTCTGGGGATGTCGATATTCTTTTATTTACATATGGCACACAGTAGATTACAAAATAAATATTGCTGTAAAACGTGGCATTGTTTTAAGGTGCTTTACCCAATATTTTTTAATTCAACTTGTCACATAAATAGTTTAATAGATACATGACATTATTTTTGGGATTATTCAGCACCTTTTAGCTAAAACAAGTATTTGTTGATTTAACTGACAGTTGTTACTTACTTTATTATTGAAATTAAAGTCTATTAAATTATTCTAATAAATTTTATGATTCTTTATCTTCATAATCATTTTAGAAACAGGACGTCCACTTCTAAACAAAGTCTTTTCCCAATGACTTCCACATCACACGGTTGAATTATTCAAATAAGTTTATTTTATATTATTGTTATTTATTCTAAAATATTTGTAGCAGGTCTTTAGCGTCTATCGATACATTATCACAACCCTATTCGTGCACAGGCAACATAATTATGCAGAGGTAAAAACATTTAACAATAACTCTCTGTAAGTCTACAGAGTTCTTTGATATGTAGGAATTTCTGCGAAATTGAATTACATGTGTCTTTGAATATGCTTTGTCCAGTTTTCCTCTTCTTTTCAAAATGAAAAGCTTTGAATGAATGTCAAAAATTAAATAAAATCTGTTCAACCAACTAAATCACATCTACCTGGTCACTATTCTATGTAGTTACGAGTACCTTCTGTAGTTCACTGGTAAGAGAGCTAGACTCTCTGTCTTCTTAGCAGTTCTGGGTTTCATAACCATAATGATATGGGCATTTCTACGGGGACGACCGATCGACCTACTGGGGCGAAAAAAGTACCTTTAAAATTGAAGTACGGACTTGAAAAAAATCACACGTATTTATAGGACTCTTGACTTGATGGAGAGCATATTTAGAAGACCGCCAGGTTTTATATCTCGCCTTGAAAAAATCCGAAAGTTCAAAAACGGGCGAAATTTGGCCTAAAATGGAGTGTCCGGTTTCCAGAACTTACTCGTTTTTGCTTCATAACTTTTGAAATAATAACTTNCCCCGGCCTAACAAAACGTTTCAGTATTCACATAAGGGTTCGGGTCGGAAATTCGTTTTGGGTCCTCTCGTTCCACATCCACAGTAATTGCGTATCAAAATTAACGGTTTTCTATTAACCGGTACGTTTTGATTCGGCACAAAGGTACCTTCATCGCTTGTCGGCGTGTGCTATCGTGCGAGCCAATATTTGCGGAACGTGCGCTTCCGTGGCCGATGTGTGGACACATATCACTACGTCTCCCGACTCCCAATGGAATTTCGCAAACACACGTTTATGGCTTTTTGACAACACATTCATCACAAGAGGGTGGAGAGAGATAAAGCATAAGTAGGTACTACAGGTTGGCACAAACTTACACGTTCAAACCTACTCTCGAGAATGAATTTGCACAAGATTAGACATACGATACTATGCTGAAAGCTTATGAGCGTCTCGTTTCGAAGGGTGTATCCATCTCTTACATTCGTGGATGAATTAAGTTTAAAGCTTCCATCCATCTCTCATTTCACAGAGATGGATGGAAGCTTTAAACTTAATTCATCCACTACTACAGGACTCAAATTTGACTTCAACCAGTCCTCAACTTGAATCTTCAGTAGAATCAAACTTTAGTAATGTTTTCCCAGTCTGATAAACTTTTTCCAAGGCACTAAACAAGCTGTTTAGTGAACCTAAATAGATGATGAATGGCTGGAACAGTTTTTAAACGGATTCTCCCAGCGTTTTATCTGTGACAGGTGAGACGGGCCACGACAATGACTAATGTCCTGTCGCAAAGGGGTATTTATCTTAAACATATAAAGCAACATTTGACATTTATTCTGTTATTTATTTACGTATTTACTCAAATAAAAATAGATTTACTGTACTGATAACAATACCTATTTTTTATAGCAGTTGAAATGCGTATAGATCTCTACTATCTTTAGATACTTACAGCAGTATTCACAAACGATGCTCTCTCAAGTGAAGCAGCAACGCTATGCGAAGTCGAAAGCACAGCGCGAGCGTCGAAAATAGCTTTGTGATTGGTTCGTGTGTC